CAACCAGAGCCTCTAGTGAGTTTTACTACTAATAAGCTGGTGACTTCATGCAGCCATTTCACTTCGGCAAGTGACTGAGCTCAAATTTAAAGAGGTTCAAAAATAACTTCCAAACCACCATCACTGCCTTCAAGAAAGGTGAGTATGAAACTAGTTACGTAAGAGGCAAAGCCAGCCCAGTCTTCTTTTTGTAGCGTATGTTACCATTTCAACTCCCCAGTGACAAGCACAAAACTACCTTGACTACATCCTGCCTGACCTTTGGGGCATCTTTGTCAACCACTNCACTCCCGTGACAAGCACAAAACTACCTTGACTACATCCTGCCTGACCTTTGGGGCATCTTTGTNAACTCCCCAGTGACAAGCACAAAACTACCTTGACTACATCCTGCCTGACCTTTGGGGCATCTTTGTCAACCACTTATAGCCATTCCTCCCCATCTATGTTATACTAAACTTAATACAGGCCTCTTTCATATTATACCTTATAGTGAATTTCCCACTGTCCACCCTTCCTGATGGCCAAATCATCCATCCCTTTTATCTTCCTTAGAGATATGAAGTGGGGTGGAGGATGGGGGGTGGGTAGTGCCAGGGCTGGGAAGTACATAGCTAGAGACTCAAAAAGAGTAGGGAGATTCTTTCTGGGGGACACTCCAAAGGGGTCTGCTATTCTGGGTGATCCCAAAAGACTGTTTCAGACAGTATGGCTATTATATGTTGCAAAGGATATCAGTTCACTATGAGCCCAGAACGGCCAGACGTGCTAGCTACGGCTGAAGGCTGAAAAAAACAGAATCAAATCTGGTTTCTTTTTTTTTTTTTAAATAGACTTTATTTTTTTTAATCCTTACCAGAGGATATTTTCTCCATTGCTTTTCAGAGAGAGTGGAAGGGAGAAAGAGAGACAGACAGAGAGAGACAGAGAAACTGACTGGTTGCCTCCCACACACGCCCCGGCCTGGCCAGGGAACCTGCAACCCAGGTACGAGTCCTTGACTGGAATCGAACCAGAGACCCTTTGGTCTGCAGGCTGATACTCTAACCACTGAGCAACCCCGGCTAGAGTCACTCTGGTTTCTTGAAGGCCTTTCAATGGTGCCTGTCTGCAGTAGAACACTTTTGCAAATCATCTCCAAGTAAATGGATAATTTGCATTCTCCCTTTATATTTTCCTACATATTTTTCCAGGCTTAAAATTTCTGGCTGTACTGCTTGTAACAACAGATCTGTCAAGGGGGAAAGGAGGTAGCTAATGCTAGGCATGGTAAAAGGCTTGAAATAAACATACTAGAATACTGTGTAGTGGTTCAGTGAAGACTCTGAAGTCAGACAGCTTGCTATGTGACCTTGAGCAAATTAAGTCTCCAAGCCTCAGTTTCCCCATCTGCAATATGATTATAATAATTGTACTTCATAGACTGCTGTGAGGTTTAGCTAAGACAATGCATGCAACTGCTTATCCTAACACGTTATAAATGCTCCAAGATGGTTTGTTGTTATTATGTAGTATTTTAACCAACGCTGCCGGTCAGGCATTACTATCCTTATTTTACAGATGAGGAAACTGTGGCACAGATGGTATCAGGATCAGAATCCGGAATTGTCCAACTCTGGAGCTCACAATGTTCCTACCACTTACTGAACAAGGTGCACCATGTTTTGTGACTTTCAAAGAATAAAAAACTCTAGGCTTGACTCAGGAAATTGAAATTCTAGGTCAACTAGTAATAAGTCAGAGGGACTCGAGGAGGAAAAAGTGGTTATCAAGCTATAATAAAGACCTGCACCAGTGCTTTGAAAACAGATTGGAAGACATATGAGATGGTTAGGAAGGAAAATCAGCAAAAATGGTCCTCAGATGAGATTTTTGGATAGAGCAGCATGTCAAGGAATCATTGGGGAGAGTTGACTAACAAAACTATGAGCTGCCATTCTTGCCATTCCAGACAATAAACATATAGTCTTTGTCAGTAAGTTTGGGAATTCTAGCACTTCACATTCATCTCTTGGAGATATAATGCGTATGGAAGCAAAACTAACACTTTGTCCTGCTGTCATTCAGAATAAGTACACCACATTCCACAGTCAATAACACAATCCGCAAAACACTTTGCACCCTGAGATAAATCAAAGCAATCTGTTTAGGTCTGTCTTCCAAATAAATAATACCTATAACATTTCCTATAAGTTACTAATGTCTGGAGAGAAGACATTTGTGATTAAAGCCCTGACGAGGTCACTCAGTTGGTTAGAGCTTTGTTTGGCTACGCCAAGGCTGTGGATTTGATCCCCGGTAAAGGCACATACATGAATCAACCAATGAATGCATAAATAAGTGGAACAACAAACTGATGTTTCTCTCTCTCTCTCTCTCTCTCTCAAATCAATTTTTTAAAAAAAGACTTTAGTGAATAAGATAATACGCCGAGAAAAGCTTTTCCACCACGGACACACTAATGTAAACTTGGAACTCTTGGTAATACTGCAGTTTTCTTCCATTTAAACATGTGTTCTGTTTTTATTTGGTTGAGCAGTCCTTACAAGGGCTGATTCCTTCACACCCATTTGGAAAGTGAATTTCCTTTACTTCCTATATGTTTTCCTTTCATATTAAAAGCTGTGAAAATTCCTACAGTAAAGAAACTTTCATTTAGCATTTTCCTAACTTATTTGGAAGCCATGCAGTCTACAAGAACAGGGACTCTGATGCCACAGCTCTGCCACTTGGAAGCCGAATGACACTGAGCCATCTCTTCAAAGCTGAGGCTTAGTTTCACGATCTATGGAATAGTCCTGGTTGCTGGACTACACGCAACATGGATGGCAGAGCAACTCAAAGAGCACCCAGCACATTGTAAACCCAACAAAATCGGATTGTACTTAAACAGAAGTGATCCCTTCTCAACATTCCAACCCTCTTAGTTTACATGCAACATCCTGCAGGACATCACTGTTTGGGAAACACAGACTAAAGCTTTCAGGTCAGGCCATCTGGTGCAGAAGGAAATTACCAAGATGATGCTGATTTAAGTTCTTGCCCCTGCAATTAGATGTGAAGTTTGGGGCACATATCAAGTCTTTCTGAGCATAAGATTTCCATATCTGTATAATGAGATACTACAGAGTTGAGATTCGATTATAAAGCATACATAAAGGTGTACTTTTTTTGTGGACCCATCTTAGGAGCAGTAGCCAGAATCTGCTACAGTCCACAATGACTAAGAAATTGCTCCAACAGGGGTGTAAAAATATATAAATAGAGCCACTTTAAACTAGAACTGGAGCTGCCACCCCAGAGGAACTGCCTTGCAAGTTTTATGCCACAAGCCTTTGTAATGTTAAAACAGGGCAAAATAACCTTTATTGGGCCTAAAGCAACACTGTGCCCCAAGGAACTGTTTGCAAGGATAACAAGAAAGCAGATATGACTAACGACTTAAAATTAAAAACACTGTCTAGAATTAGCATCACTGTTAGCTTACCTGCATCACTAGAAATGCCTTCCTTCTACAGATGTAACTGTTCCCCTTCTCTTTTTCCTAAATACCCCTTGTCTCTGTTTCCTAACAGAAACACTATTTGGGTTTCTGCCTGAATCAGTGCTTCCTGAACAGCAATTCTTCCTTTTTAAAAATCTCAAATAAATGCGTATTGCCTCTCGCTCTGAAAAGGCATTTTAATTTTAGGTTAACACAAAACTTTATACAAATAAAAATAAATACACACAAATCTTCACAAAACACTTTCCAGTAAAAGTCTTTTGTGAAGACGTGTATGTGTGCGTATATACAAGTCTTTCCTATAGACACTAAGTGCAAATTTCTGATGACTGCTTAACACAAGTCATCTGAGCCTTGGATAAACTGATTGAACAGTTAATTATACACTAATGCTAAAAGGAAAACTTTTTCATAGTCACTTTTCAATTACTCATACTAATGAAGAGAAATAACATAAATGATACCTAAATAATCAGTTTATTACATAATTAAACTAACTTTTTTTTAGCAATGTTTCCCAGACAGGTTTTACTGAAAATAGTTATTAAAATAAAATTTGCACCTTCCAAGTATCAGTTCAATCAGACTAGGATCCCAATACTGGTAAGCCACAAGGTTACCAAGAAATAAGGGTGTTACACAACCAAGCTATTTCTATTCCACGGCAGCAATCACAGTGTAGTCATCCGTTCTGAATTTTCTACAGCCATCCATCCATTATCGTTATATTTCTCCACGAAAATGGGTGTCTCACTAAGAGAACAGTACCACTTAACTTCTGTTTCCTGCACTGTAAAATGGGAATATCTGCCTAATAGTGTTATTGTAAAGCCTAAAGACAATGAATATGAAGGACTTGGAAATATGCGGAGCACGTAAACTTTCAAAAAAATCCTACCTGCCGTTATTATTTTCCGCACAATGCTTACTTGCTTATTTTCTGTAAGTTTAGGTTGCATCGGTGTTCTTCTAATTCTCGGGAAACGAAGGCCGCTTTTGGGCCTCAGCTTCTCTGAGGCTCTCCTCATCGATTAACGACCTACTCCTGCGTCGCATTCCCATTTGTAAACGACCTTTTAGCGTACCCTTACTCAAATCAATTCCAAATCTCCTTTTCCAGATAAACTTTTTTCCAGATAAACTTTAAGTTCCAAGAGCCCTTCTCCCAGGGCCCAAGCATCCCGCACGGCCCTGGCTAGCACGTCCTTCCAGCCCACGGGAGCCACGCTTCCAACTCGCAGCACAGCCCCCGCGCTGGCCTCATCCCGGGTCTCGGTTACGAAACACGGCCACACACGGCCGGGCCCCGGCTCGGGCCGCAGCGCTAGCTCCCCCTGGAAAAGCCCGACCACGAAGAGCCGAGCAACCTTCCACAAATCCGCTCCAGCCTCAGTTTCCCTGGCGGCAGCACCGGCGCGCACCGGTCGTCCAAGGGCCCCGGGGAGAGGCCCCAAATGACCCGGCGCTCCAAGACCCCGCAGAGCCGCACACTCACCTGCAAGTGACCTGCTTGGTGCTCATGGTGGTCGAGATACAGGCCGTGGGCGCACTGCAGCCTCTCGCTCCGGTCGCCGCCGTCGCCGCCTCAGCCCTGCCCCTCCCGCGCAGCAGCGTCACGACCGCGCACACCGCCCCCGCGTGTTGCACCTTTGTAGCGCCGGCCGGAAACCTCGCCGCCGTCACAATTGGTTCCGCCCCGGGAGGGAGGAGGAGCCGACCCCCAATCCCCGCACTCCTTGTCCCGCATTTCCAAGCCTCCTGGGCCGGGCCTAGCGAGCTGCTTAGTTCCGCGGGTCTCATCCCCGGTGCCCGCTGTTAGTTCCTGCGGGTCTGCCCCCATCGCCGAGGGCATTACTCCGACCGGTATCTAGATTCACACTCTCTGAGGCCTTGTCTCCACTGTTCCCGCCCAGGCCTCACCTCCCAAGTGCGGAATTCCGTCGTCCTCTCTCGGTTGCTCTTTTTCAACATCTCTATTCCCATCCCGAGTTTTAGTCATTTTCTTCCCAGGCATTCCTCTGCTACCTGTCTTCTATTTCCTTCCAGAAGTATACAGGGTGGGGCAAAAGTAGGTTTACAGTTGTGCGTATGGAAAATAATACACTAGTTAATAAGTAAGAATATAAGAATAAACTCTGTGTTTCGCATACGCACAACTGTAAACCTGCTTTTGCCCCACGCTGGACTCTGGACCCTTTCCCCTGGTTCTCTATATCTTGCAGATCCTGCTTTCCAACGCATCCCCTCGTCTCCATTTCCACCTTCATCGTTCCAGTCTGAGCCCTAATCAGCCCTCCTTGCCTGGGCCCGTGCTAGGGCCTTTTAACTGCTCTTCTAGTCTGTTGCTAAACGAAACCTATTTTTAAAATGTCAGATGTCATTAACCTCCTCTAACCCTGGCTCCCTATTGCTTTTTAAAATATTCTTTAAAAAAATATTAACATTGAGATATAATAGAAAAAACACATATGCCTGTATGAATTTTTACATATGTTTACACTCATGAAACCACCACCCAGATCAAAGAACATTATCAATACCCCAGAGGGCTCTCTATGCCCCTTCCCAATCAATATCTCCCAAAGGTGACTGTTATTCTCACCTCTATTACCACACATTAGGTTGTTCTTGACCTTGATATAAATGAAATAATTCAATATGTACTGTTTTGTCTGTCTTCTTTTGACCAACACTGTATCTGTGAGATCTATACGTGTTGTAAGAACAACATATACCTGCGTGTTGTTCTTTTGCTGTGATGTAAAAATATTGGCTTCCAATGAATGAGCACAATATATACTTCCAACTAGAACTTTTGAAATTTTTCTCAAATTTAGGAAATACATTGGGAAATTTGTAGTTTTCAGTGTATAGGTCTTCGACAACTTTTATTAGATGCATTCCTAGGTATCTAGATTTTTTTGTATGCTATTTTAAATGATATTTTTTAAATGTCCTGTTTGTTGCTTGTTCCATGCTAAATTCATGTATTAATTCAAATGGTTTGTTTGTTGATTGTTTTGGATTTTCTACACATACAATATGCCACCGGCAAATGATGACAGTTTTACCTCATTTTCAACCTTTTTATCTTTTACTTCTTTTTTAAAAATTTTACTTATCGATTTTAGAGAGAGAATTGAAGGGAGGGAGAGAGAGAGAAACATCATTTTGTTGTTTCACTTATGTATGCATCCATTGGTTGATTCTTGTGAGCTCCAACCGGGGATCAAACCCACAACCCTGCTGTGTCAGGATGAAGCTCTAACCACCTGAGCTACCCAGCCAGGGCATACCCTTTCTTTCTTTTTCTTGGCTTACTGTGCTGCTGAGAATCCTCACTGTAACCCTAAATAGAAGATGGTAATAGTGGACAACCTTGTCTTGTTCCTGAATTCAGGGGAATTACATAATATTTCACCATTAATTAAAATGTTGGCGCTAGGATTTTTGAAGCTATACATTATCAAATTAAGGAAGTTTCTTTCGGGTTTTCTTAGAGTTTTTATTATGAACATGTCTTTTGATTTTTTTAAAAAAATCAAATCCTTTCTTTCCCATATATTGAGAAAACGGTATTGTTTTATCCTTTGTTCTGTTAGTGTGTTGAATTATATTATTGATTTTTTAATGTTAAGTCAACCTTGAATTTCTCAGATAGAACCCATTTGGCATGATATATTATTTTTTTTATAAATCATATACTGTATTCTATTTGTTAATACTGTGTTTAGGATTTCTATATCCTTTGTCTGTAGTGCTCCTTCCTTGGAATGTCCATAACTGGCTTTGGTATCTGAGATATGCATGAGTTTGGAAGTCTTCCTTCTTTTCTATTCTCTGGAAATGTCTGTAATATAGGTATTAATTTTTTCTTAAATGTTTGGAAAAATTTACCACTGAAGCCATCTCAGCCTGCAGTTTACTTTAGCTTGGTTTAGTTTCTGTATTATACCTGTGATTGTCATTTCAGATTTCTGCTCTTATCCTTACTATGTCTCTTTTTATATTTTTTTGAGTTTAAATTGTTCTTGTTTTCTAGCTTCCTTTTTAAGTAAAGCTATAATTTTCCCTCTAAGCCCTTTAGTTGTATCCCACAGAAATATTTTTCTAATTTCCACTGTTATTTATTCTTTGATCTGTAAGTTATTTAGCAGTGTGCTGCTTAATTTCCAGACTACTGAGAATTTTCTAGTTAGCTTGTTCTTATTGATTTCTAGTGCAATCCCACTGTGCAATTGTCTATTCACCTTTTAGTTTGGCCAACATTTGATATATATTTTTTGAGGCCATGTTTTTAGTTAGGCTCAAATAAATTTGAGGTTGGCTAATGTGTTTTGCCAACACATTATAACTAATAAATGTCCCTCTTTGTGCTAGTTGCAATGTGATTCAAGACAGTGTTATATCAGTGAAGGAATCTATTTACCTCACTATTGTGCACATAATACACTATGTAAATTCATGTACAAAATCTGTTTCTAAGAATGCTAGTTGTTCATTACATCAGGGTACTGTTTTCAGTGAAAGAATGCACTGACCCCAGACAGAACGGTGCATGTAATATGCTATGTGAAAGATGTTTCTGAGGGTGCTAGTTCAAAAAAGGAAATGTCTCTAGAATCATAGAACAGACTGACAAATCTCAGAGGGAAAGTGGGGGTGGGTGGGGAGAGATTAACATAAGAATTTATATGCATATATGCATAACCCATGGACTCAGACAATAGTGGGGTGAAGGCCTGAGG